TGCTACTACAGGAGTCCAAATCTCATTTGATTTGGGTTGAAGACTTGTGTTTGCAGGACAAGGCAGAGGAGAAGTTTAGCCTCTGTCACAATTCTCTTAATGACAAAATTTACTTTTCTGGGATTTCACTGCGTTTCTCTGAAGGACATGATACTCACTGCAGTGCTGGGGGAGTGATTTAATATCAGCATAACACTTTTTTTCCTTGTCTTTCTCCCCATTCAGTTTTCTTCTTTTTCCTTCTATGCATTGCTCTTTTTCTGTTGGGAATAAATGGTCTGAATTTTTCTATAGTGTGGATGGTAGGCTGGCAGATTATGAGAAGCATGGTACAGAGGAAGAAGCTGCCATGTTTGCTGCAAGCACTCTTGGTCACATAGATGAGAGCATACAGGAAAGAAAAATAAATAAATTACTCCAGATGCCGCTTTGACTGACCCCGTGACATCACTGCCTGAAGGTTGACATCCACAAGGTGAGGATGCACAGCCTCGGCTTCCAACAGCAGACGAGAGCTTAGTATTTGATATGTACTACATCTGATTTAAAAAAAGTGCCTTTTTTGTTTGTTTGTTTGTTTGTTTTGTGATAGTGTTGTGATCTTCACATTCACATTTACTGATGACACATCACGCACAAACCCCACCACTCTCTTCTGCATTCTTTGTCATCATTCTAAAGACTTGTAGGGCTAACAATGATGGAAACTGCAGCAGTGCCCGTCCTTCTTCATCTTCAACAGGAGGTGTATTTTGATCTCTGTTTTTCACAACGGTACACAGACAAGGACAATGGCCCTCCCAGCCATCTGCATTTCTCCTTCTCACTGGTGAAGTCCATTGAGAAGGTACTTGTTAGTGCAGCATATGAGTCTTTCTGAGCCTGTCAGAGAGGGATAGGAAGGCAGTGTTAATTCAGCCAATGCTGTGCAGCTTGCAGAAACACTGTCGGCTTCTGCCTACACACATCTCACCTCCTATTGTTAATGAAATTACAGCTGATGAAAGAGATGAAAAAGTAACACATTTCTTTTCTGTTTTTTATAGTAATAAGGGAAATCTGATTCTTCCTGCCCCTGTACTATGAGTCTGTTTTTTGGACTGGGTCCTTTGGGCGACTGGGGCAGCTGTGGGGACATCATTCCCTGCACGGGTGCTATCAAATACACATAGGTGCACTAAACCTAATTTAACTGTTCTGAGTGTAAAGGCCACATTTGTTTGGGTAAATCTCTCTCATACAAGGAGTGATTACTTTCCAGGACTAACTAATATCTAGTTAGTGCTTTCCCATTTCTCACTGGTGGAAGACGAGCAACCTGTAAAGCTATGGAGAGGTCAAGTGAAAATTTCAGCAGAAATTTCTGAAGATAGCTATGAATTCATGGTGACCCTACAACTATTAGACATCTTGTTGTCCACAGAAAAAAAATAAATTGCAGATGTGTCCTGAAAATAAAACACGCAGTAGGCGTCATAGGCACACAGAACATTACGAGCTGTCTCAGGGGTTTCCAGACACAGAGAGGTGTGAGAGCTTTTTCCACCATCTCCACTTCTGTCTCAGGTTTTGCTTTCGTTTCTGCTTCTCACAGGTTCCCACTCTGCCATCACACATAAATTCCACCCAGACTCCCAGCTCAGCCCCCTCCCATTTCCTATTTATCACTAAACCCCCCATGTCAAAACAATCATGTTGATTCTGCTGTCTCCTTAATGTTATACTTGTGTATTTATTCTTTCTATATAACAGCTATTTTGTCAAAATGGCCTTTTTACTGGAGATTTATACCTACTGATTTCATACCTTGCCTGTGTTCTTTTATAGCTGGGGCTGGACATAAGAAATCAGAGCAAAATGTCTTTCTCCATCCATGTTAAAACTGCCACATGAGATCTGTGCTGGTACACCTCAGAGTTGGCTCCCCAAGAAAAAGCAAACTTAGAGTCTTCATGAGACCTGAAGAAATCCTATAGAATATTTTAAAGACCGTTTCCTCTGAAGGCTGTATTGTTTCAATAGCAAATTTCTTCCAATCCTCCCTTCCTGTTTTTCCATTCATGTGAACACGGGGTATTTTAAGAGTCCATCTGCTCATGTTACTTATTCCTCACTTCAAGTCATAATCCTCTGTGATACTACAGTTAATTGCTCTGCCTATGATTATATCGCAATTATGAATGGGATTATGAATTTCAACCCTATCTGTACTGGCGTAATTTCAAAATATTTCTACTGTTACCAGCTATGCCTGAACTTCAACAGCTTTTACAATTTTGAGGACATTTATTGTGTATCTGGCTGTTCTGATGCTGCTCTTAAATAGATAGAAGTGCCCACACCATATTTTACACTAACTGTAGCTAGATTAATTTGGATCTTGCACCTTTCTGGCTGAATTGAGACCTGCCTTTAGTCATGTTATTTCCATTCACAGCCCCAAGGTCTACGATAGACAGAGGGTGATGCTATTTAAAAATATCAGGATGTATTTTAAGCCATTTCTGAGCAATGGTAAATCCGATTCTGAAAATGTCAGTAGGTGAAGCGTCTACATCATAACTATACAACGGCTCTTGTTTTGTCACTCTTTCTGAGTAAAACTGTCCCTCCTTTACCAACAGGACATGGGACAGCAGAAAACAGTCCAAATTTTGCTTGCAGCCTGTTGCTCCATGAGGAAATTGATGTTTGGAAATACTCTTCTTGGTGAAGCGCTGCTCAGCAGAAACGGTCAACAAAAAATATAAAAAATAAAAATAAAAATGAAAACAATAAAATAATAATTATTATTATCATAATAAAAAAATGGAGGCAAAGGAGTGTATTTTTGGGGGAGGGGGTGATGCAGCCCGGGGGGTGTCGGGGAGCCGCAGGTGCCCGGGCGGGGGCTGCGCGCTGCTTCCCGCGGGCGCGGAGCGGCCGGGAGAGGGCGCGATGGCCCCACGGTAGCGGCGGCGGCCGTGGGAAAGCGCGGCCGTCCCCCGCGCCGGCGGGCGCCTCACCGCGGGTGGGGAGGGGGGGGGTCCTCCCGCCTTGGGGGGGCGGCCCCGCGCGCCGAATCACACCCCCCACCCCGGGTTTGTGCTCGCTGTGTGCTTAGAAAAGAAAAGCAGGGGAGGGGAATAAATAAATATACATATAGGAATAAGAAAATCCCCGCGGGGTGCCCGAGCTGGGGACGGGATAGCCGCTTGGAAGCGTTTGGGGGGGGGGGGGGGGGGGTGGGAGAAGTGTGCACAGCGGAGTGTCCCCCCATCTCTAGTGGGTGCGGAGCTCGTCGTGGCGGGGGGAAGGGGGAGGTTGCGCGGGGCGCAGCTCGGCGGGGGCTGGCGGCGGAGGAACCGCAGGTGCGTAAACTGCGCCCGCCCGGGCGGTGGGAGGGAGTCGGGGGTGTCCGTGCGGGTCGCCGGCAGCTAACGGTTCGGCGGGGCCGCGGGACCCGCCTGCCCGCCACGATGGGGGGGGGGGGGGGGGGGGGGCGCCCCGTCGTGGGTCGGCAGCCGCTGCGGCTCCGCGCCCCTCGAGGGTGGCCGAAAGGAGCGGGGGGTGGGGGGTGGTCACCCCGGGGCGTGGAGAGGAGGGAAGGGGCCGCAGGTGGGGGTCAGAGTGGGGGCGGCACAAGCCGGGGCGGGGGCACACCCGGGGCTGGTGAAAGAGAGCGTGGCTGCAAGGTGACCCCCGTGGGGCTCTGCCTCCGCCCCGCCCCGCAGCCTCCTTCTCCCGGTTTAATCCTCAACAGGCGCCGGCAGAGGCGGGATAATCGAGCGGCGACCGGGGCGGGGGGTGCCCGAGTCATACACGCTCCTTTGTGCCGGCAGCCAGCGCCTCCCCCCCCCCCACCCCCGGAGGCCGGCTCGCCCTCGGTGCGCGCCGAAGCCTCTTTGAGGTGGGGAGAGGAGGGTAAAGCCCCTTCCCCGGCCGCCGCCATCGGGGGGCATCGCGCTCTCCCTGCCGGGAAGCCAGCGGGAGGAGGGGAACGGCGAAGAGCTGCCTTTTAATCCCTACTCGTATTTTTTTTTTTTTTTTTTTTTTTTACTATGTTTACTTCCGACCTCTCCTTGCGCAGCTCGTAGTAAAAAGCCAGTTAAAAAAAAAAAAAAAAAAAAAGTAAAATAAATAAAAAGGACCGCGGAGCGCTGCATCGCCTCCCCCCCGGCGCGCTTCCCTCCCGCCCTGCAGGGAGAAAACCGCCGCCGCGGATCTCTCCGCAGCCGGGTGGCGGGAATAGGCGGGGGGGGGGGGGGGGGGTTTGTGTGTGGAAGCGCGGAGTGGCGCGCCCGCCCCCTCGCGGCGCGCCCTCCCCGCGGCGGGAGCGCGGAGCCTGCGCGGCTGCCAGCAGCGGGCGGCGGCGCGCCCGGCGGGAGCGCGCCCAAGGGCCCCGCGGTGCTGCCCCCGCCCCCGCGGCACCTCCCGCCCGCCCCTCGCCGGCGCTTTAAAGGAGGAAAAGCAACTAAACTTCTATTGTACCGGACAGAGCGCGCCGCGCCGCCTTGGACCCTACAATCTGCTGCACGCCGGGAAGGCGGCTTCTCTCCGCGGCTCCGTGGGGTTTTTTTAAACCGTGGTGGAAGAGAGCTACATTTTCCCGGCGTTTTGCCTTTTTTTTTTTTTTTTTCCCACCGTCCTTTCCGGCGGTTCTTTTTTTTTATTTTATTTTATATATATATATATATTTTTTTTTTTTTTTCCCCTTGTTCTGTTGTTCCCCGCACCGCCCGCAATAATTGCCTCGCTACGTCTCGCAGCTGGCGCGTTGGAGAAGCCGGTGAGTTGCGGGGTTCTGCTGTGCCCATCACTCGATCCCCCGCGGTTGTGGCGTTTGGACTGACACGGGCTGGTGACACCCAGGCTGCCGGCGGGGCTGAGCTCCGCGACGTGGATACCGACGGTCCCTCCTGAGGGACGCTCGCCTCTGTCGGGGCACCGCCGTTCCCCATCATTTTTCTTGAGCTCGGATTTTAATTTTACATTTTTTTTTTTTTTTCCTTTGGCGGGGGGTGTGTGTGGGGGGGGAAGCATTTGCTTCTCCCGCGTATGCGCGGGCAGGTTATGGTTATTTCACATATGGCTTATATGCATATATATATGCGTATATATATGTATATATGACAAGATTTGGCAAAGTTTGCCAGGGTCCCTGCCCGTCCCCGCGCCCTGCCAGCACGCCTAGGTGGGTGGCTGGGGAGCAGCCCGGCTCTCGGCTGGAAGCTCCCGGGAGCTCGCCGCCCCTTCCCGCCCGGCTCCCGGGACGCGGGAGGCGGGATGGGGATGGCGCTGCGGCCCCGGGAGGGAAGGGGCTTCGTGCCGGAGCGGTGCCCCGTGGGAGGGGGGCGGCGGGTGGGGAGCCGAGCCGAGCCGAGCGGCGCAGGGCGGCCGAGCCGCGGGAGCCCCTCCGGAGGGGCCGCCGGCCGCGGGGAGGGTGGTCCAGGAGTCGGCGGCAGCCGGTCCCTCGGTAGATCAGGTCTCGCCGCCCGCGTGTCCTGTCGAGCTTGGAAGGGGGGGGTGGGTGACGGGAGGTCGTGTATTTAATTTTTTTTTTTTTCTTAATTATTATAATATTTTTTTTTTAATTACGAAACGCGACTGTGCGTTTCCCCGCCGGCACGGCGCGGGGAGCCGGGAGGCAGCGCTGCGCGGCGGGGGGGCCCGGTGGCCCCGCCGAGGCCGGGGGGGAACAGATCCCCGCGGCGGAGCGCGGCTCACCCGACACCCCCCCCCCCCCCTTTTTTCCCCCCCTACCGCCCTCAGGCACCAGCCGCCGCGATGCCGCTCAGCGCCGGCTTCCCCAGCAAGAACTACGACTACGACTACGACTCGGTGCAGCCCTACTTCTACTTCGAGGAGGAGGAGGAGAACTTCTACCTGGCGGCGCAGCAGCGGGGCAGCGAGCTGCAGCCCCCCGCCCCGTCCGAGGACATCTGGAAGAAGTTTGAACTGCTGCCCACGCCGCCCCTCTCCCCCAGCCGCCGCTCCAGCCTGGCCGCCGCCTCCTGCTTCCCCTCCACCGCCGACCAGCTGGAGATAGTGACCGAGCTCCTCGGGGGGGACATGGTCAACCAGAGCTTCATCTGCGACCCGGACGACGAGTCCTTCGTCAAGTCCATCATCATCCAGGATTGCATGTGGAGCGGCTTCTCCGCCGCCGCCAAGCTGGAGAAGGTGGTCTCGGAGAAGCTGGCCTCCTACCAGGCGGCCCGCCGGGAGGGGGGCCCCGCCGCCGCCCGCCCCGGCCCGCCGCCCGCCGCCCCGCCACCGCCCGGCCTCGCCGCCTCCCCCGCCGCCTCGGCCGGCCTCTACCTGCACGACCTGGGCGCCGCCGCCGCCGATTGCATCGACCCCTCGGTGGTCTTCCCCTACCCGCTCAGCGAGCGGGCCCCGCGGGCCGGGCCGCCCGGCGCCAGCCCCGCGTCCCTGCTGGGCGACGACACGCCGCCCACGACCAGCAGCGACTCGGGTGAGTGGGGCCCACGCGTGCTCCGGGGACACACACACACACACACACACACACCACGACACGGGCGTGGAAGTCCGCGGTGCGCCGAGTGCACCCAGCAGCCCCCCCGCCCGCCTCCCTCCTCACCCCCTTTCTCCCCCGGCCCTCCCCGCATGGGCTCTTTTAAATGCCACGTTAGCGAGGCACGGAGAGACTCCCGACGAATTTATTTCCTGGAAAACTAGCCCAGTTTTCCCTCCAGGGGTGGAGGGAGGAAAGGGGGGAGGGGAGGAAGAAACTTTCATAACGGGGGCAGAGGCGGTCTCCAGCGCGGTGTCCCGGTGCTGCCGGTGCCACCCGTGGGCTGGGAAGGAGTTAACTCCCGCCCGAGAGCCGCGGGGGGAATGTGCAGCCAGGGAGGCGCTAGTGAAAGTGACTGCAGAGGAGTGAATGGGGCTGGGAAAGTTTTAGAAATGCTTCCTTAGGTATTTGACAGCGTGTTCTGCTCCCTCATAAATTTGGTTTGAGAGTGAGTTTCTACTCAAGGCGCTACAGCCCTTTTTTTTTTTTTTTTTTTTTTTTTTCCCTCCCCTCCCCTCCCTTGGATTTTCCACAAATTAGCAGATCAAGAGAGATTCAGAAAATGTCTCTGAATACACATGTGTGTTAAGTAAGATTTCTTTTGAGGCGTGGCCAAAGCCTTCTAAATCCTTAATTAAGGGCAGCTTGAGTCTGGGAGCTTTATTGTGCTGTACTGCTGACAACCGAGGTTAAACTTCCCTGCTATCTTTCATGCGCTCATCGGAATTACGCAAGCTCTTTGCAACTTTTGAAATCAGGGAGCTGGGGTTTGGAGAGCTGTCCGTGTGTCCTATTGCACTTGAAGCATTGCTTCCTTAAAGGAAAGGCTGTTGGGGAAAGCAGGGTCCAGCGGTATCAAACGGATTTAAGAAGGGTTTGTCAATGGGTTCCTCGTTGTGCAGCTCAGAGTAGCCTTCCCTTATAAATACAGTGGTCTTGAGAGTATTTGCACAACTTATGAATATTTTTTTTTTTCCCCTTGCAGAAGAAGAACAAGAAGAAGATGAGGAAATAGATGTCGTTACATTAGCTGAAGCGAACGAATCCGAATCCAGCACAGAGTCCAGCACAGACACATCAGAAGAGCACAGTAAGCCCCACCACAGCCCGCTGGTTCTCAAGCGGTGTCACGTCAACATCCATCAGCACAATTATGCTGCTCCTCCCTCCACCAAGGTTGAATACCCAGCTGCGAAAAGGCTAAAGTTGGACAGTGGCAGAGTTCTCAAACAGATCAGCAACAACCGAAAATGCTCGAGTCCCCGCACGTCAGATTCAGAAGAGAACGACAAGAGGCGAACGCACAATGTCTTGGAGCGCCAGAGGAGGAACGAGCTGAAGTTGAGTTTCTTTGCCTTGCGTGACCAGATACCTGAGGTGGCCAACAACGAAAAGGCGCCCAAGGTTGTCATCCTGAAAAAAGCAACAGAGTACGTTCTCTCCATCCAGTCGGACGAACACAGACTGATCGCAGAGAAAGAGCAGTTGCGGCGGAGGAGAGAACAGTTGAAACACAAACTCGAGCAGCTAAGGAACTCTTGTGCGTAGGAACTCTTGGGCATTGCTTAGAATAACCCAAACTAGACTGAAACTATGATAAAATATTAATGTTTCTGATATCATTCATGAACTACACCAGTCCATTGAGTATGGAACTATTGCAACTGCATGCTGTGCGATTTAACTTGAGACTACACAACCTTGGCTGAATCTCCCAAGGGTTTGGCCAGAACCTCAAAACTGCCTCATAATTGATACTTTGGGCATAAGGGATGATGGGACATTCTTCATGCTTGGGGATGAACTCAACTTTTTTTCTTTTAAAATTTTGTATTTAAGGCATTTTTTCATATGAGGATCCAAAAAAAAAAAGTTGTCCCCAGATTGCTGTATATATTTACACATCTTATTGCCATGTAAATACCTTTAATAAAGCCTTTATAGAAAAATGTGCAACATTAATACGCAACAGTTGTGGCAACTGGATTTATACTTGTCTTGAACTTCTGTGCCATAACATTTCACAATTTTGTTTTTTATTTAAATACATTTTTCTTTTTAAAATGATTTTTATTTTGTTTTTAGATAAATAAATATTTGCCCAAAATATAATTAGCTAAATCCTGTGTGAAGACTTTGCTTTGTCTCCCACGGTTGTTGTTAGATGCTTATTTCCATGATATCCCTCTCCTTGTCATGGCAGTGACCTGACAAAAGTCAAAGGAGAGTTAGGTGAGAGGAAATGATGATAGGTCTATAGCTTAGTAGAGAGCTGAGTTTCTTCCTTCTGTTAATTCGAGTAGATAAAATTGTTGGTCTAATGTACTTTGTTGGTTCAACCAGTGTTGCAGCAGTGCCTCCATGAAGGTGGTTGTAGCAATGTCTGTCTTGGCCATGGCCATCTGCCTTCTGAAAGTAAAGTTGAGGTGTTGTATTTTTGCACCAGTCACCCCAGCATATGGGCTTTTCATTCCTTGCAAAGACTTATAATTGCATTTTCAGGGCATGACCTTCATTCTGCGCTAGGGACCCAGCTACATATTTTGAGGGCTGCTTTGTAGTAGGCTCACCTTAATTGCTTCCTGTTTCATTTTGAACTGAAGTTAAATAGATAAGAAAACAAACTGAGATGGTGAGAGTTGAAGTGATTAAAACAACAGCATGGTTTCCATTTTTAGCCAATCTTCCTGGTCAAACACCTTTAACGCTTTATTCATGTGAATAGTTACTTGGGATTTCAAGGAATACAAAGTTCAAGGATGCACAAAGGAAAAGAAGAGCTATTTCTCCCGTGGAGAATATGCTCAGACAGTTTTCTAACATTTGCCAGACATATTAAATCATATTTACATTCAGGAATTGTCTCATGATCAGCTTTGGATAAGCCATAAAGTACCTGAGATTAGATCTGTTATTTTTCTCCCCTTCTTTCACCCACTTAGCTTCACTTTGGTCACAACTTCAGCAAGAAATCAGTGAGCCCTTTGATGTGGGGGAAGAAGGTGCTTTTCAAAAAGTTGAACCTTGTACTTTTTGATTTTCATAATTCCCGTTAAATACATATTTGCTTGGCTTGTAACCATTCAAGGAGCAGTGCTGCCAGATAACACCAGTGGCAGTAACCAAACTGGGACTGAGGGCTCAGGTTTTCTATTGCTTTTGAGTTCAGAGTGGGAAGAAGAAGAGTTGAGTGTGGGTTTATATAGGATGGGGGGAGGTAGCATTTTATAGGCGGGGTAGATGCCAAAAGTCTCTGCCCTGCAAAGCCCAGGGTAACCGTCCCAACAGTTTTGCACATGGGGCTTCCAAAAGAGGGTAGGTGTCCAAATCCCATTTGATTGAGTGCTTTAAGTTCTAGGCTGAAGGTTTCTTGGGGAAAAAAACAAAAAGCATTCTGTTAGAAAAGCAAGAGAAAGCAAGGCTTTATTCTTTGTCTGCACCGCCCCCTTGTAACTGGGTTTATAAAAGTGGTCTGCAGTTGCTTTTTCCAGTATGTGATTCAGATATTCACTTATGAAGAAAAAGAATGATGTGAAATGAAACTGTCAATTGTATCTGAACTGTAAATCAGGATATCTTCCAGCTCTGAACAACAGAAAACTTCTACCTTTTATTAGACAGGATAACTTATTTTAAAAGAACGTGAATTTCACTTGCCTTTTGGCTTGTACCCTGTTTTAGATATTGCTTTGGAACAGAAGCAAGCTGTTCAAGCATCTCTAACTGCATCCTCATCCCCTGAAACAAACCAAGAGGTATAGATCCATCCACAAACTATGAAAAATATCTGTCACCCTTGGGTCCTAGTTTCATGTGTTAGCAAAACCCCCTCATCTCTTCCCGTTAAATGAGGTTAGACCACACTGATTAAAAAACCTCTCCTTATTTGTCATCTTCTTAAATCATTTGGAGAATAGCTTTGAGTTTTGTCTTCTCTGTGCAGAAGGTCCATCCTCAGTCTTTTGATGAATAGGCTACTAGCAGTTATTTAGTTTCTTACTATTCTCTTTTAATTGAGTGTCTGTTCCACTTACCACTTACCTATTGGAAGAGCACACCAGATCATGAACATGGTCCCAAATTGCCACTTTAAAGAGTATGATATTATGAGATGACACTTCATATTTATGACATTTATTACTCTGTTGAAGGATGGCAAAGTACCTAGATATTGTAGTAAAAAATAAATAAATTTAAAATAGCCTACGGGTGTAGGGGTAAGAAAACTCCTGGTTATTAAACTGCTGCTACAATAAAGAAGGTGTCTTCCACTTTCCAACTCAGCATGAGAGGTTAGGATGTTCAGAAGACACAGACATCCCACAGGAGTTTCTAGGCTGGATTCAGTTAGTAACACATTGTATATGGGTAGGAAAGTGTTGGGTTTTGCTGCTGTTTTGGAGCAATAAATGAGAAAAGCTTATAAAAGAAGCCTCTGAGCCTTGAAATAAAATGCAGTAAGTATT